AAAATCATACTTGGTCTGACTTTCACCCAAAACTTGATATACATATCTGATCCAGTTTGCTTTAAATTAGCATGCATTAGTTTGGAGACAAGCCACCTCTTGGTAATGACATTTACTTCATCTACAGACAAAATACAATCAATGCTAGCCTTAACATCAAAAAGATAATAAATAAGGAAGTAACTTTAATTTTGTTTATTGTATTTTTGGACTTTCTGTAAATGATTTGTGTCAATAAGTTTCTTAAATTCCAGGAACCTGTACTGGTTGGAATACAATATTTATACAGACAACACATCTAGTAGATTTGTCATTAAAATGAGATACCAAACAAAGTTCTATCCTGTCAGAATATAGGCAGTGCATGTTTGATAGCCTTTGTCAGTGAAGATGCAGGTGCTGTGAATATTGGCATGCAAACTGAATTCCCTGCTAAAATGTACACCAATGGATTCTCAGTTATAATTGAAACTAAATGGGTTGCAATGAGATTATCACGGAACTATTCTAATTACATAAAAAATCGCAAGTGAAGTGTCTCATCTGTGAGGGTTGTGGTTATAATACATTAAAAGCTTGTTGTTGGAGCTTACTAAAGAGTAAAATTGCTTATTATAATCCTAGAAACACTATAAATGTTAATTCACATAATTTCACTGATAATGTGTAACAACTGAAGAACATCCAAGTTAAGTCCCTTTCTGCACTTACAACAAACAAAGTAAATCCAGTGAAACCAAGGCCTGTTGCCAGTTGCAAATTGTAGGCTTTCTGAGTCCTCTGATTTCGCAGAGTCCATGAGCCCTGAGGTACTGGCAGGTCATTCATCGAAGGTGGTTTGTCAGGTAGGTTAGCATACTGTCTGGTGGAGTTAACTGCAAGAAAAAGTACATTTTCAGACATACATACTAATGTTATATTCTCATGTAAAGTATGTATGGTAAACCTATTCACCATTTGGCCCTATCTCGGGAAGTACACTAGCTAAGGGTAACAAATTTTATACTCTGTGTAATCCAAAATGTAATCCAACTATGATAATGATAAAGGCACTATAGCTAACTGCCAAAGACCAACAAATCTCAAGTATAAATATTCTGTCAACATACAGATACTGAGCCCAACCTACTAATTAACCATCAAATAAGGAACTAGTCCACCTTGTTCATCTTCTCAAAGGTTTTAGCATAATCTTTAATGCCAATTTGTAACATCATGATGGTTACCTTGAATAAAACTACAAAGTCAGAATTGACATAATAAGACATAATAAACAATGTCACAACAAAATCCAGAAGTACAGGTGACATATAAATTTTTATTTAACCCTTCCTGACGGGGCATGCCCTAAGGCGTCATAATAAACCGCTCGATCTGTGGAGTGTGGCTGTATGCCGTGGATATGTGCCAAAGCGCTATGAGCCGGTACTGAACTCCTGCGCTCAAAGTCGGCGCGTTGCCATTGATCTCCAGTGCATAGTTCTTAAAAAATTTTCTTCACCATTATTAAGGGGTTAAGAATCACCAGCATATTCAAGAATACTTTTCCTATGTCTATTAATTAAGTAATCATACATAACTATTTATATAGATTCCCTACTGTATAATGTATTGATAACTTTATGGACAGATTTTTTGTCTAATGATGGGTGTCAGAGGGGAGATGATGGTTTTCTGAAGTTTAATATAAGAAAGGAATATTAAGTAGCTAGGAAATCATGAACGTGAATCATGGTAACTGTTAACGATGGGATAACTTCTGTGTAATTCCCTATAATTCTAGTTAACCAGTTAACACCCTAATCTATCTCAATCTTAACCTATTTCTAAATTTGAACTTAGCCTATATCCATTACCAACATGCCAAAAGAGGTTTTACCTTTCCTCTTGAAAACATGTAAGTTGACATCTAATGCATTTATGTGCTGATACCCTTCACTTAATTTAAATAGCAAAGGAAAAAAAAAAAACATTCCATTTGTCTACCTTTGCACTATCATTTGCTTAACCCAATGGTGACGGGTGAAGAAAACAAAAAAACAAAAAACAAAAAAACTACGCTCTGGCAAACAATGGCGGTACGCGGACTTTGAGCGTGTGAGTTCGGTACATCAGCCCGAATCACTGGCTCGCCGCCGCACGCCACCTTTGGAATGGTTTGTTTTCACACCTATCGGCGTCACCCGTCGGGAAGGGGTTAACTAGACTAATTATAGCAAGAAATACTGCAACACCACTCTGTATGTGATAAATGTACTAAAAAATCCTTGATCAAATTAAGAACATACTATGTCTACATCTACTGCTGCAGCTTCTCAAACAAAAATAAAGTGTATGCCAATTCTTTAACCCCTTGGTGCCGGGTGACGCCGATCGGCGTGTACACAAAGAGCTCGAAAGCTGGCGTGCAGCCGAACAAGCCGATGGCGCGCCAAAGTGCGGCGAGCCAGTGATTTGGGCTGATGTCCCCTACTCATGCGCTCAAAGTCGGCGCGCCGCCTTTGTTTGTTTAAGCGTAGAGTTTTTTTTTTTTCTTTTGTACACCCGGCGCCATTGGGTTAAAGGATGCTATCATAATGTGCACAAGTGCAAAAAATAGAATACTATACAAAAATGGTGAATGAACAATTTGCTTCATCAGACATAATATTCACAGGTTTAATCCATGTCTGTTGGGCCACGCCTAAAGCGATCCAAACAAATTGACTCAATGTGATGGGTACAGCTATAGGCATCGCTGCGCACTAGTGTGTGGCATGCGGAAAGTTCCACTACTTGTAGTGAACTCTCGGGCCAAATGGCAGGACACTTGCCAGAAGCCTCTGGAGTCAGTGTCACATGCAAAGACTGTTATGGACTGAGCTGCAGATGACATTATGTAATGACTGAGGGAGCTCATCTTTCTCTGGTAGTACAGACATCATCTGTTTGGTGTCACTGCTGGATACAGGGACTGAAACTCAGGAGAACCGAGTGGACTTAGGCTGTGAGAAGCATTTTCTGTTATCTTTTCCCTTTATTTATGGTGTTACTATTTGTCTAAAGATTGTCCTTTACAAGTATATTATCTTCAATTTACCCTATCTTAGTGTGTCCATGCTGTAAGGATTAACCATTCGTGTGTGGTCTTTTTCGGCAGCTGTGCATTCTGCCAAATGGGTTTGTCTGTATGGGGTCCATCTACAGGGATGCCACCTGCGGCATCGGTGCTACACTGTCATGGCATCATAGTAGATGCCGCCCGTGAACAAGGGGTTAACTGACATTGTGAATATTAACCCATTGCCACTGGGGAAAATGAACAAAAAATGGGGGAAATGCAGTACTCATTTTTTATATTTTTGTGAAATATTTCTGTCCATAGATGGCTCTACTAGTCCTGATTTCACCTTTCCTTGAATTGGCAGGAAAAAACGTATTTTTACTAGTGCTATAAATATAGATGGTGTTATTTTTAACAGCAAATTAGGATAACATAAAATATTTTCTTAAATCGATGAAAAGGGTGAACTTGCGAGACAGGCAGTACTCGTAATTGACTTATTGGATACTTAATACAAGTGTAGCCACCTATGTGTAAAAACAATCGAACAAGTCGACTCATAGTGGGCATGGCATGTACGTACATGCCATCCCCGGCGGCAATGGGTTAAAAGGTTTTTAACCCCTTGCCGCCGGGTGACGGCGATACGCGTGTAAACAAATCGCTCGAAAGGTGGCGTGCGGCCAAACCAGCCGGCGGCGCGCCAAAGCGCGGCGAGCCAGTGATTCGGGCTGACGCCCCGTACTCCTGCGCTCAAAGTCGGCGCGCTGCCTTTGTTTGCCAGAGCGTAGAGTTTTATTTTCCTTTTGTACACCCGGCGTCATTGGGTTAAAATACTAATAACAAATTCCAAAAATCATGGAAAAGGTTAACTTGTTTAGAAAGGTATGCCTAACTAAGTAACTAAGCACTTCTGGATTCATCTCGGTATAAAATTAAGCAATATTACAATGGACACGGTATGTATATCATGCCATCTGCAATGGGTCAACCCTTTACGACCAGGAACAAGTGATGTCCGGTATAGTTTTGTATGGTGAATTGTCTTCACACAGTTCCACAAACCCTTATCCACCAAGGCATTAATCAATAGGCTTCACAATGTGTGTTATATAGAGAATGACCTGGCTCCTTACCTCATAGTAAGTAGCCTAAAAGGTCAAATTCTAACTTCCCAAAATATACTTGGTTGAGGTTGTTGGGCTTTTCTAGAACATCAAATACGTATAATGGTCTTATTCATGAAGGCATGGATTAACAGACTTTGGTTAATGTTACTGAGTGTGACGTACCTAGGGGGAAATGGACACTGCCATCTTATAGTACATAAGAAATGGATTAACAATAATAAGTTCAGTATTATTTATTTTTTTTTCTAATAGGCACAAAATGCCAATAAGGAGGGGGTGCAAGGGGGCTTGCCCCCCTTTTAAGGGAATAAATAGAAGGTAGGAAATGTTAGATCTGGATTTTGGGTTCACATGATAACCTGGTTTTGGGACTTCATATCTGGAGGGTGTGTTGCCCTCGGAAACATTTACCCACAGTTTGATGAACGACTGGCTAAACAATATCCAACAATAATTTGCTGATTAAATAAGCACCATTATCCATAATACTTGGGTAATGGCTATAAAGAACTCTAGCAGTACTCTAAGGTAAAATACAAATATTTCAGAAAATAAGGATGTTCACAAATGCCTATTAGTTTGAGAATCTATGCAAACAGAACTACATATGGCTTTCACACTCTGGTTTCTTACAAGCTTTAACAAACCTCTACCACGTATATTCATTCTAGAAAACTGCATTGGTTGACTGGGTCATCTTAGTGGTATGGACACACAAAGATAGGGCAATTTATATTCTTGTAGAGGACATAAATTTGTAGTTGTTGGTACAAGAAATAATCTGCAGAGATTAAGCCCCATTGCTACATCACAAACCTGATGAAACA